ACATACACAATCCTTAATAAAGTCAGTTTTAGAACATAAACATCTGCGCATGCTTAGATGTCAAAATAAGAGCGGCACTAATAGTGACTGACCCTAAGTGAACTTGCAATAACTCTCTTTTAAGGACAGGCACAATCTTTGTTAAAGTTAGTGATCTACGCATGCTCAGATGTCAAAATAAGAGCGGCACTAATAGTGACTGACCTTAAGTGAACTTGCAATAACTCTCTATTATTATTATCAATCTTTTTTATTAATTTACATTTTTTAAATGTTATTGTATTACTTTTAAATTCAGTGTTACTAAATACCGATATTTTGACATTGGATACACTTGTTTAAGGTACAACTTTACAATTTATTGTCACTTAGCCATTTAAATCTTTTTGCTTAAAATCTATATACATGTCCAGATTTTAATAATGTTTCACATTTTACGTCATTTTGACCATGTACACGATTGTTTGGTACGGGCCGGTATCTATTTTTAACTATATTTAATATTTAAAAAAATATCCTTTATTATTTACTTGCAATGTAATTCGAAAATTAAACACTAGAGAGGGCTAACTTCGGCAGTAGTGCTGTCTCTATATTTCACGCACGGTCCCTATACGCCCGATGTCAACATAATCACGTGAACACCTAAACAGAACAGGGCCGCATTAAGCTCGTGAAAAAATACATTTTTGAATTTGTATTTTAATATTAATGAATCTTAAAATATGTATTGTACAAAATCGGGACCAGGACTGGACTGAGTGAACATTTTAATATATATGCTATATATTTTTATTAATTAGAAGCCATAACAACTTACTTTCGTACATTTAATGGTTACTTTTTAAAATGAACGTTTTTTTTAGAAAGCTTTTTTGGGACTATAGCTACTAACTTACGTAAATTTATTATTCTGACTCTAATTCTGACATGCTTGAGCTACTATCACCAACTGCTATTACAATTGGTTCAATTTGAACCTCCATGATAATGTCTAGTTCCCACATTTTTGGTTCTACATTTTAACGTACATGTTCAATATAGTTTTATCAAATAAAGCAGTCCAGCAAAACGAAATTAATAACAACAATAACAACAGCAAACATCAAGAAACAACAACAAACAACACGTACGTTGTGCAATAATACTAAACGCTTGTTCAACCAAAACCAAGAATAACACTAAGCTCTCTAAAATATTTACTGTTACGCAGCCAAAGCCAACTGAGCCGAATACAACACTGGTCAAATCGGTCATCTGGCGTTGAAGCACGTTCGTGTTTGAGCGCCCAATAGCGTTGCGATAATTGGGAAACACGTGGCTAGCACGCACTGATCACGCGCTGGTTACTGTTTACATCGGGCGTATTTGAAATGTGAATAGACTTTAGAGTTGTAGCAACATTAATTTATAAGAAACGTATAACTTAAATTAAGTTGTTTTAAAATGTATAATATATGTAGTTGTTATAACGTTTCTATGATTTTAAATTGCAACTACTTTTAATACATAGATATTCACTTAATAATACAGTTGTAATACCGTTGTAAACTATAGTTACTATTAGATTTATCCAGAAAATTATTATATGGTTAATAAAACTAATACACACTGCTTCAGTGGTTCTTTTGTTTTAAATTATATAATACACCGTTACTATAGAAGTTGTACAGAGGTTAAATGTGTATATTATTTTATTCCTAGAATGTATTATCTTTCTGAGGTTAGGAGTTAGGAATAACTGCTTTAAAAATTTTAGAAGAGAATTATGTACCCGAAAAAGAGGTGGCTCTTATACCCAGACAGCACACCAAATCCTTTGGATATCTACTAAACATCCCAATATCCACTGAATGTCCAGTCCATGGTGGATATCTATTTTATATCCATGAGCTGTAATTTATAGACATGCAAATGTCCATAAATAATAGTAATTATATAGCAAATTATTAAAAAATTACGCCATTGTGCTCGCCATTGTGGCTAATAGTACCGTTCAGATATTTAAAATTAATTTTTTTAAGGTGTATTCAATATCATATGGACATCCACTAAATATATCAAAGTCTAGGCGCGAACACAAACCATCGTGGATATCCACTAGATGTAATTTTTGATTTTGCTTACTAAGTATAGATGGCGATACTACCTTCGCATCTACTCATGCTCAACCCGCCGTAATTGAGTTCGATCGAAATTTGTTTCACAATCAGACTCCATTAGAGACTGGAGTCGAGTATTTCCATTTATTGCTGAAGAGTCCTAATAAGGATAACTTTCTCCTTAATGGGCAAAATCAAGGGCAGAGCGTTGAAAATATTTTGAGTGTTGAAAATATTTTTATCTCTGCTATTTTATTTCGACTTTATTCAATAATCATTGGTTACTTATGAACCTCTACTAAAGATACCTATAAAATATTTTGCTGAATATCCGAATTCATCTATATCCTGGGATATAGACGGACATTTGGTTAGATATCCATATTGGATATCCACAGAATTATTCTGTGGATATCTCCGGGATTTCTTGTATTGTCTGGAAGATACTCATTAGAGATATTTTGCTGGATATCCATATGATATCTTCTATATTCTGGATATAGACGGACATTTGGATATCCATATTAGATCCATGGAATATTTCTGATATCCTGTGGATATATTGGATATCCACAAAAGATATTCTGTGTATATCTCTTGGTGTGTTGTCTGGGTAGATAAAAAAAAATTAAACTGGACGCATTAAAGTACTTCAAGAAATAAAAAAAATTGAGAACATTTCAAACACAGATCCCGCAGTACCTACATATACAATAAAACCAACCGTTGTTTTCAACAGTAATATTTGGAATTTTGCTTCTTGCAATAATGTCTAAGATAGTTATAAAAAGAAACAACTAATAAAGACCAAGAAATATTGCAACATAGAAACTGACATGAAAATAGGGACCAATAAGTAAAAGTATGGGTAATAACAAAAAATAAAGTAGATTACTTACCACATAAAATTGTAAATAAACTAGTGAGAATAATTATATGCTCAATTAAAATTAAACAACTACGAAATGATGCAAGAACCTTATTGCAAACTATCAGAAAAATAAACATAGTTGTTATGGGACCAGAACCCAATAGTATATTATTATTTAAAAACCCATATGACTTAAAACCATGTTTTGCACAAGAATACTGGCCCGTCACAAGAACCCCCTTCTTTACTGTAGTTAGTCGGCATCCAACTTTGGATTGACATAAATCCCACCTCAGGTGCTTAGGCACAGAAAGTAGGTAGCATTTATTTTTGTCACCCAACGTGGGGCGCCAAAAATAAATGCTAAACGAATACTGAAAAAAACTCAACATGCACAAATGTGATTCCTGTCAATTTAACAACTTGTGTTTCGCCACAAGTTCGATAAAGATAAGATACAAAACTAAATAATTAAACCCTGTGGATAATCCAAGCTATCTAAATATGTCAAAAAAAAAATATATTTAGAGAAAATTAGAAAAAGATGTAATTATAGATATAATTCACAGAGACATTTAAAGGTATAGAAAATTACGATCATTTTTAATAAGGTAGTAACAAAAAATACATTTTCCACATTCAGACAATAAAAAAACCACGTAGGGCGCCAATTTGTAATATGTGTGCATCAGTTAGTAATAATTAACGTTTATTTATATTAATATTAAAATATTTACTTACCTTAATCGTCTTAATCCAATTACGTTTAATTACAGTAGGTTATTATGATTTTTGTATAGTGTACTTACACACTTATGTACTGTTTACTTGATATGAGGAGACAATAACATTATTTGAAGTCAACTTTATGATTATTATTTATCTACTAGATTCTTTTCTCTGCTAAATCGGCATTCCAATCCAATAACTATTTACAATTAGTCCATAAATCTGTTTATTGGATACAGAATAAAAGAAGAGTCTAGAAACGAATAATTTGTTGGAAAAAATTTGAAATGTGGAAATTTAAAGACAATCCTGTTTTGGTATTGGTTACTTTGATTTTTAAACGTAGTTTTATTTTTTGATTCTACTTTTCAATTCCAGTTTAAAGATATGTGTTATGATTTTACTAAGATTTTATATGTCGCATTTCAAAAACCAAAATGATCAATATTATCGGAAAAAGCCAATATAGCAAAAGTACAAAGTGACCGGCATGTGCTTAAACCCACAAATCCCAAATTTTGTAGATTTCTGACAACCAATTTTCGCATTTTTAGACTCTTTTTCCATTATGTACCTACTCTGTATTTATAGCAAAATTGAAACGTTCATGCGCTATCCTATGTAATATTATTAATACTGTATATTATTTATTTGTCTACAGAACTGCTCACAAGTTAACGTAGTAAGAGAGTTACTTAAAAACTTCGATTATACCAATGCAGCAGCAGATCAGCTAAGAAAAGATACTGAGAATTTGATCACTCAGACAAAAACAGAATTTAGCACTTTAACTAAATTGGCTGAAAGTAACATCCAGCTATCTTTAAGTGCAATACAAAGCAATGTTAAAAGTATATTAGGTAAGTACATTAGGTAAAGTTTTATTTTATTATTTATTTTAAAAGTCAGCCACATAAATTTGACCATGCTTTCTATTTAAAAAAGTGGGTCACTGCCGAGATCCAGGGGGTTGGATTTCTGGATATGAATTTTATATATATTCGTCCATTGGGCAATAAAAGTTGACGAGTTTTTATAAATTTTGAAATGCCTTTTTTTTTCTGAATCTCTGGAAGTTCAAGTTATCATTGATAAACCTTGTACACGAACGTTTATTAATTCAGTTCTCCAATGGCTTGTCTAGTAATTTTTTTACCAGAATCCAAAGAATTGGGTTTTAAATATTTTGTAAACATTTCATTTAAAAAAATACGATATTTTTTATTCGAATGTAATAAAAGATATTTATATATTTATAAAAAAAATAGATTTCAAGTGACAACAGTGTAAATATTATTTATAGGTAGATATACTTTTTTTAGGTGAAAATTCGCCTTATAAACACCTCCCCCTTACGGTCAGTAGTGTGGGGCCCGCTGCTTGCGTTATTCAGAGCTCATACCACAATATATCCCCTATAGTAGTGCATCTCACTTGTTAAAGAGTTGGCACTAAGTTTGCAGCGCAAGAATGCGTCTGTGTCTGGCCGCTCAACTAACTCGATATGGCGGTAAATTCAAATATAATTTTAAGGCGAAATTTAAATTTCCCGCCAAAATGGTAAATTTTCAGCCGCGGAATGGCGGGAATTTTTAAATATATTCATTCGGCAATAATTATTGAAAAGTATATTGCATGTTCGATTAAACGAGCTGTAAATCCAGGCGCTATTTTTATTTTGATAGCTAAAAATAATACTAATTCTTTTATTATTAGCTATTACAATAAGAGCAGCATTTGGATTAACAACACATTTAAAAGAACATGTAATATACTTTTTAATTTTACCAAAATCACTAATTTTTTACCTATAGAGGTTAGATCTGAAAAAAAATTGGCTCTGGTAAAAAAAACAAAAAATTGTATAAAGTATTTTATTTGAAAAATTATAATATATTTTAAAGACGAAGATAACTCTAGCCATATCCATTTTACTGAAAAAAAAAAAGAAACTATTAAATGAAATCATAGTTATTAAGAGATGTTTGTGATAATACAGTGACAGCTATCGAATGTTGTACAATACGTTTTGCTAATGTCCAAGTAAAAACTAAAAAGAGTTAGCATTAGTGGGAGAAGGAATAGAATACTATGAACGTAGCCAGCCGGCTGCATATTTGTAAGTAGCAGACGCAACATAAAATCGTGAAATGGCGAACTGCAATTTGTATGTAACAGACTTAGTACAACCAAAACAGCTAACACATCTCCTACATACGCGTGATTGATTATTATAGCGCAAAACAAAGCACTGCTCTATTTGTCAATAATATGTATAGGACGATATTTGTAATTTAAAAATATCTATTATAAATTTAGGCGGTAATATTTAGTTATTTAATCTATGTCAGGAAAAACTAGAAATTAATTCAATAAACGATTTAATAACTTTAAATTGAAATATAAAATATAGAACAAAATAAAATTATTTAGAAATAAGTATCAAATGAAAAAAAGAATAAAATGCAAATAAAATAATATTAAAATAAAATAGATAAAATACTTAATGCACGTATGAGATGGCGTACCTGAAATAAAAGAAAACAAGTATGAGTAATCAAGTTTACCAAAAACAGCTTTACATTAAAGAAAGTCATGAAAAGGTGATATCCATAAATAAAATACTTATTATCCTTTTAATTAACAAGAAAATTATACATGATAAATATGTCAAAATATTGATTATAAAAAAAATATAATTGACACAACTTTAAATTTTCCATAATTGACAAAAAGTTATATTCTCAATTCTGTAGGCACTGACCGCAATGCCCAAACATCGATCGATATATAAAAAGCCATTACTAGAACACTGACCGCAATGCCACTAGCCCGCACCAACCATGGTGCGACGACTCCGGGAATAATCCCTAAATAAACGCAAACACTGACCGCAATGTACTACGCCAGAACAGACAATCTAACTCACTTTACTTTTGATTACACCTCGTAGAGGAAAACAAAATATAAGTAAATAGTCAAATTCAAATAAGTTTTAATTATTTAATATAACCCCGTTAATTTAGGATATAAGGTTTTCTCAATACTTGACAAAATATCTTTATGTCAGAATTGACAAATTAACTATAAAAGGTTAATGGATAATAATTGGGTAATATAATTTGCAAAATAACTTGATTACAAATTAAAACAAAACTAATTGATAAAACATAATTACTCAGTGAGAAAAACTCACTCTGTTCAGCAAACAGCCACTCACAAAAATTATTATTCACTAGTTTCTTTTTATTATTATTATTATTATTATTGGAACGAACTTTAATTTTGTTCCGTAAAGTAACTAACTCAAATTCAGAATGATCTGTATTTTATGCCTGTTTCGATATTTTACCCTTAGTTCCCATATTCGTAATCCGATATCTCCATATCTTAATGGTGTTAATGTAAACATAGTCTGTAGCTATTTTGGAAGACAAATATTTCGTGCGTTTAAAAAGAACCGGGTGTTTCGTAAAATAAAACTTAATAATATTGTATAGAAAATAAAATCATTCTTACATATGAATGAAATAAGTGATATTTGGTTTCCCAAGCTGTATGATTGGAAGGTAATTAATAAATCTACCTACAAATTAAGAATTAAAACAAAAGAAGATGTAGAGGTATGTTAACAAAATTTCTAGGTTATGTTTTTGGGCGCTTAACGCTCTGATATGTATAAAAGCCTGACGAGGACTCTTTTTGGTAACGTTTTTTTGAGGAGCATGGAGATTATTTTATATTTTTTCGTGTATTGAAGGTGTGTTTCTTGGGTTTTAAACTGTAATTTATATTATTTTTTCGGTTGATAAGTATATTTATATCTAAAAGCGTATAGTGAAAGGTTTAGCCATAAGGGCAGCGATGATTTAAAAATTCATCAGACTCGTACAAAGTAATAATTATTGATAGACACATCATTAATTAAACTGAGAACAGAAATTGATTTATCACAAAAAATGCGATGTTGCCATGTAAAATATGCAGGGTTATCGTTCTAAAACCTGAGGATTGGCACTGCATTCAAATATAAAGGCATTTCTTCAAAAAATAGGAGTTCTGCCATAGCAACTCGCCGCAAAATTCCTATTCAACCAACGTCAGTAGCAGGAAGCAAAATGGGAGGAAAAAATATCTTTTCTGGAAGAAAATCTTTTAGACACAGTGGGAAAAAAAGCAGCACATTCGTTAAAAATTTGTGTAGAAAAAAACGTAGGGCTTGGTGACAATAAATTCCGAAAATAAGGTTTTTCTGGTTTTTTATTAATTTGTTGTTAGTAGTAATATTAATAAATTAGCCATTAAGTTTTTTAAGATCTCAATACCATCATAAATAATTTACTAAGAGATGTAAATAAATTAGTAAATTTTACTAAGCATCCTTGTGTCTTTCTTATTCTTTTTAATCGGTTAGTTATCTGAAGGCATGATTTTTTATTTAATCGTTGTGTATGTAACAGACGCGTTACTAGTTTTAGTTGGAATACGTCTGCTACATACGAATTACTCTTCGGCAATTTCCGAATGTTAATAGATTGTATTCTGCGTCCGTTACATACAAATATGCCAGCCGGCTACGTGGGGATGCATCACACCGTGTGCCTGTTCATATTACACAGCACACAAGGCAACATTCATATTATTCGTTTCCTGATCGAACTAATGCGCTAACTCTTTAGTTTTCTTTTCGATTCTAGCCAAGCGTATTGGAAAGTGTTCATTAGCCGATACTGTATATAAATTCTAAAATCAATAAGTGAAATAAAAAAATTTAGTTTAAATGGACATCTACTTCGAAAAAAGTAAATTATTATACTTGAATTTTAAAGGCTGTTGCCACTGGAAAACTATTATCTAGGGCTTGGATGACAGCCATAGGACTCCCTCCTTGAATCGTGTCCATAGGAAAGCATAAGATCATAGTTAAATTATAATATTAAGAGGGTAGGTATTAACTGAAAAAATATGAAAAATTATTACAAACTTATCTCAAAATTGGCACCTACATTAAAAGAAGGGAAAACGGAAACATAAAATTGTTATACTTGAATTTTAAAGGCTTTTCCCACTGGAAAAGTATTATCTAGGGCGCAGACCCTTGGATGACAGCCATAGATAGCAATCCCTCCTTGATTCCTCTTTTTCTGAGTTTGTTGTACGTTTTGTTTCCCATATTAAATAATAAAGCACTTAATACAACAACACAAATCACAATAAATATCGCTGAAACAAAATTAATATTAAATTTCGTAGAAGAAAAAATCAAAAAATTATCACTTGTCAACACTGACACTTCACGCTTCACTTATAAAAACTCGACGCTAAAGAATGAAAGATGATTCGAAATAGGAATTATTAACTGGTATCTCTTTCTTTGATAAGTATCTAAACAAAGAGAAAGAGTGGGAGTGAGTAACGCTCCGATCAGATTGTTTTGAATTCGTCGTCAACCAATGAACGTGCCGATGTCAAAAATCAATAACGATACTAGCGCCATGAGACCTGTGTCTGGCCGCAGCGTAACTCAAAGCCATTTCTTGAATCCCAGTAACATTACTATAGGGGATATATTGTGGCTCATACCCACTAAAAACACCACGTGGGCCGCCAGAGTAAGCATTACTTCACAGTGGGGGCTTCCCATCCTCATGTTGTTTTTGTTTTTTACCTTCCTCCCATTTGCTGGTGGTCGCGTTCTTCTTTTTCCTCTTTCCTATGCAGGACCTTGGTTATAAATTTGGTGATATTATTCCACTTCGTTTGGTATTCCGTCTTTTTTCCACGATGTTTTATGGGGTTAGGAAGCCCATTATCTATCTTATATCCGTCCTTTCTATGTTCCAGCGGATGCACGCAAAAACGGTGTGTTTCGGTGTGTCTTCCTCCCCGCAGTACAGTACATGCATTCAGCGTCTGCTGCTTTGCCGATCCTTTTGGTATACGTGCGTAATGACCCGTGTCCGCAAAGAAATTGGAAGAGAAAATAAATTAGCTTCCGATGTCTGCATTACAACCAGTTATCCAGGTTGGGAATTTCGGTTTTTGTTCATTGTTCTACGTTCGTAGTTTGCTCCCATTTATTTTGCCCCACATTCTTCTCGTACGGTCTGATTTTTCCATTCTGATTGTATTGTTGATTTCAGCGCTGTTTCTTTTGCAATGTAGTATTTCATATTATTTTATCATAAGCTTCATAGATGTTATCCCGGCAATAACATTTGCTGCGTCCACAGATATGGTGCAATAAGCGCTGATCTTTTTCATCAGCATCTTTCTCTGGGTGCTAATTATTATGTTTCCTTATTTTTTTGATTCTGATACTCTGTGCCATATGGGAGTGCTATAAAGGATTGAGACCTACAAGACTGAGAACAGCCCTTTTCGCGTTATCTGGCCTGTTTTTTTTTAGATGCTCGTTGAAGATTAATTTATCATCTATGTAGACTCTCAGACCTCTAGCGTTCTTGTGGGGTATATTGTAATTCCTTTTATGGAGAAATTTATATCCTCCCTTGTTCTCGCGCCCTTAAAAATGACAGCTTCTGTCTTATGGCAAGCAATAGTTAGGTTGTTGTCTTCTAGCCATTCGCTTATTAGGTAAAGGGAAGCATTATATTTCCCCATTAGGCTCTTTTTTAAAGCGGCACGAACTATTAGTGTTAGGTCATTTGCATAGGCCACTTATTCGCAGTATGGGGGAGCTTTAAGTTCAGAACTTCGTTGTATAACACATTTCACAGCATTGGACCCAGTACAGACTCTTGGGGGACCCCTTGTGTCATTGTTTTCTCGTAGCCTCTAACATATATTTCTCTATCTTCAAAGTAGCTTCTTATCAGATTCAGCGACCACGTTGGTACGTAGTGTTGAATGCGTTTTTCACGTCTATATATATCATAGCTGACCATTTGTGGCCAGTGTTCCTGATAGCTTCAACTGCTTCTATCGTAGATTACCCCTTCCGGAATTTGCAATATGTATCAGACAATGTTACATATACCTCCATCTTGTTTTTATATCAAATATTCCAGTAGTTTCCCTAGCTTTATCTTTATCTTGTATTTCCCTGCTTTACCCGTATTTAGGTACTATCTTTGGAATAGTCCTGTGTCTTTGGTTAGTTTTAATAATTTCCCTACCAAGTGTTCCTGGGGCGTTCTTTCCGGTTCTAGGCCGAAAAGGATGAAGCGTCGTCTAGTTTCTTCCTCTGTCATGCAGAGTCTACACGTAGTAGAATCATTGTGTAATCCCATCACATGAAGGTGTTTCAGCAAGCAGTGCCCCGTTAGTAATCCCACAATGGTGGATATCTGAGGCCTTGAGAGTTGTAGTGCCTCAGTAGCCCGTAGTTGTTCTGCAACTTCATCTATATCATTTTTAGTATTAAGAGTTATTTTAACGGTTTTTAACACTGCCCCCAGCTCCACTCCGTATCCAAATCAATTAGTTTTATGTGGGTCTCGGTATACATCTCCTGGTTTATCGACGTTGTCGATTTCTATGAAAATATGCCGATGATTTAAGAGCGAAGGCTCTCTAGACACGTACCACTTGCCAATATGATTTGAAACGAAAGACGAACCAAGGGTAATATCAATAACCTCGCTCCGACTACTGGTTACAAAAGTAGGTTCATTTCCTCGATTCAATATTTCTAGGTTAGTAGAATGAATTCAAGTAAAGACTCACCTCCTTTGTTGTTGTCCTTGCTGCCCCATGTTATATGGTGTGAATTTGCATCAGCAGCAATGAGTACTTGCAGGTTTTCGGCCCAACAGGTATCTACTAGGTCCCTCAGCTCATCTGTCGGTAGAGGACTGGGCGAGTCATAGGGAAGGTATGCAGAGGTTAAAATGAGTGGTCTCTTGTTGCCTGCTATGTTTATTTCCATTCTGACTGCTACTAGGTCTCTAAAATAGAAATCTTGTAAGTTGAGGACGTCTAGACCATTACGTATGTATATACAAGCCCTAGTATTTCCGCATTGGGTATTGTAAATTAATTTACCATTGGTTTGTCCGATCCCCATCACATGCCCTTTGTAGATCCAGGGTTAGGCACAGATAGGGTTTTAACTGCAGGTTTTCTAAAGCGTTCCAAAAGTTGTCATTAATCAGCAGAACAATGGTTTGACTTGTCTTACACTTGCCTGTGAATGACTTGCCACTGTTCCGTTTGGAGCCCTTGGTTTTGGGGTTTGAGGAACGTAAGTACTTTTGTGGTTTCCATGTTCTGAATGGGTTTGGGTATCCAGGCCACAACTTTGTTGATTTGGAAGATCTCACTAGAGGGTCCCACCATAAGTTGTACTCCCTGCGATGGTTGGAGCTGGGGGATTATTTTGGAGAGCCAGGTTTAAGCTTTGTCATTAGCACAGATCAAGAAGAGAGCTCCGTTATGGAAATATCCCTTCTTGAACTGTGACCCTGATCCCTCCCCACTCTTCAAAATTACTCCCATGAGTTTTTCCTGAGTCTGATTAGCTTGCTCCTCAGTCAGTTTTTCCTTGAGAAATTATTTAGACACTACCGTCATTTTCATGGGCGTTAGTGCCTCTTTTCCTAGCACATCGGGAATGTATATTGGCCTGTACTTTTTCTCTTCGATGATTCCTTTGAGGATTAGTCCTGCTCTTGCCCTTTTCTAGGGCCTTGGGAAAATTTGTGTTTTTGCTATTTCATTAAAGACGCCAATAAGTTCGTTTGGTATTATTTGTGTGTTAATCTTGATGGTTTCAGCAGTGATTCCATCCGGGCCTGGTGCTTTAACTGTTTTTAGTTTATTAGCCCGGTGTCGTGAGCTCCTTCTTTGTGAATGAGTCATATTCCGCCACTCTACTCCATTGTTCTGGCTCCTCATCTCAGTCAGGGAAGAGAGTTCATGGATGACTTCTCTAATTTTTGTAGTAGGTCATAGAGTTGCCTCGGTCCTTTGAGGTGTCTAGTAGTAATTTTGCAACCTTGGCCCCAAATATTACTTTCCAGTTCCTTGCAGAGATCTTTGCATCTTTTCCTTTTTGACATATCAATTGCTTTTTTGTATTCATTTCTAGCTGTTTTGTGGTTTTCCTGAAACTGCAAAGTTCTTGGGAAGTTAGTCTTCTCCTCCTGCCTCTAGTAATTTATCTTCTAAAGAGGTAGTTGCGTACTGCTCTTTTATCCTTCACAGACTCGTTCCACCAGTACGAGTTGTTCCTAGAATGTTGATGTGGACGGCTATTTTCTCTAGCCTATTATGTTGTACTGATTTCAGTATTTTGACTAGATTTTTGGATGTTATATTTAACAAACTCCAATGTGTTTACTAGTGTTTCTTGGTTCATGTTTTTACTGGTTAATTGCATCCTCTGCCTATTTCTCCTTATGTCACCTACTTCGAAGTTAATGAATTCCTCTACTGATACCGTTCAGTTTTTAGTTGTTCTGGATACACACTTCTTTACCAAAATAATATCAATGAAGGACTTACTATTGCCTCGTACAAAGGTTGGCGCTGAGCCGTTGTTTAGGGCAATTAAATTTAGCGCGACCATCCATACATCAAGTAGTTTCCTCTGTTTCTTCACTTGTAACAGTTGGGCTCCATTGTCTTGACTTTGCGTGAAAATCTCCTTATATTTATTATTCTGTTGTTGTTTTTCTCCATGATTTCGCCCAACCGAGTTTGGTATTCCTGTTTGGTAATGTCTGGGGGGATATAACAATTGTAGATCATGATCCTGTTGAACAGTAGTTTAATAATAACATTTTTGCCTTGATGTCACTCTTATTTCTTACATAGGCTGCAACGTCTTGTTTGGTATCTATTATAAGACCCATATTTTTGTTGCGATTTGCGATTTTTTTTGTTTGGCTCTTGAAAGAGAATAATATCCACATTCCGTCTCTCTGCTGCGGTAAGGGAGACGTCATGTGCCTTTCTACCGCGATCGACATTTATTTGTAAGATTTTGAAAGACATTATAGATGATTTAAAAGTATTAAAAATATTTCAGATTATTCAGAGAAGAGAACTAGCAAATTGATTTCTTATTTAATAGAAGATATCCAAAAGGCCCAAAAGTATCCAGTAGATTATTCGACATGCTTGATTACAGTGCCATTCATCAAGAGTTTATCCGATAATTATAAATTAAAAACTAAGGTAAGCACATGTGATTTATAAGGGATAAAAAGAAAATAATAACATGCGAGATACAAAATTTTGGTTAGTTGGCCATGATCCATAACATACAAGAACAAAAAAATGAGGTATGTCTTAGATAACTAACACACTTAAAAACAACGATCCCTGTTATTGAAATACATGCAGTGGCTGCTTGTCTGGCCCTCTCTGGTGCGTATGCTTTCTATTCGACAATGGTCTTATTCCTTCGTTCTACCATTCCATCCAACTGTTGGTGCAACGCCGTAGTTTTGATTTTATTCATGCCTAGTGTGTCACAGATTCATCGGAAAAGCTGGCTTTCAAAATTCATGCCTTGGTTAATGGATCACCAAAGGAACTTTAAATGGACTGATAAACTCTTTTATCAACACGTCTGCATCAGTTGCGGCCTCTTGATTTGGAATGGCGTAGACTTCCACCTACTCCGTAAAATAATCCATTCTCGTTCATGGAGAATAGACCAGTAATATCTAAGGCAATCCCTTTAAATGGGTTACTGACGTTGTATTGTTTCATGGGAGCCCTCCTTTTCTGTTAATGTCCATTACTCATGACACATATGGTACATTTCATACAACAGTTCTTTACATCATCAGAAGTGTTCATCCAATAAAACCTTTCATAAACTTTCTGAAGAGTTTTTTAACACCGAGATGTCCTTCTGATGGACTGTCGTGTAATTGACGAAGTACTTCGGCTATTCTGATCTTTGAAATGACCAACTGTCATCATTATTTTCAAGTACTCGCTTTATTACGCCTTCTTCCTTGATGATACAGTCCCACTGAGCCAAATATGACTTAAGTACTGGAGAGTTTTGATACTTCTTGCCAAGTGATTCGACGATTTTTCTTTTTCCACTGTAGCTTTTTTTTTAAAACGGGATCTTCCTCTTGTTCTTCCCTAATTTTCGCAGGGCCCCTCTTATCGTTCACTAAAGTTGTTCTTAGTAGTCCAATTTCTAAAGATTCTGCTCTATTGAAGTAAGAGAAATCTGCTGGAAACGGTCTCCTAGAAAGAGAATAGGCATTTCTGTGGTTTATTCCGGCTCGAGGTTCTATTTTAAAGTCGTGCTCTCAAAGGCTAACTGGCGGAACATTACATAGTCCAATGGCATGACAATCAAATGTTACAATTCAGTTCCGATGGTAAAGGCTATCTTTTCTTCGTCTACTGAGTCCACTTTCACCTACCAATATCCAGACTTCATATAACGTAGAAAATAGTTTACTTCCGGCCAATGTGTCCAACAAATCGTCGATACCCAAAGAGGATACCCATCTTTCTTGATAACATTGTTCAATTGACGATAGTCCACACAGAACCTCGTAGTTCCACCCTTTTTCTGGACCAGGATTACCGGAGAGGCCCATGGACTGGTAGAAGGTTCTATCCCTGTCTTCCTTCATTTCCCGAACAATCCTTTCAGCTTCCTCTCTCGTGGCCTTTGGTAATCTTCAAGCTGATTGACGAATCGGCCTGTCGTCACCGGTGTTAATTTATTGTTTCACAACAGAAATTATTTCTGTCTTTCCCCCTTTGGTACAAAAATGTCACGATATCGTCGAAGAAATTTCTTTATTTTCCTTTTATATTTAAGGGATTATAGGTTCCCAAAACTTCTATAAATGAACATTTTTACGCTATCAACGGAGAATTAATTCTTTAACGTCTGTTTTATAAATAAATGTAATTAATTATACTCGTATTATATATTTTTAGTTAGCCTTGGACACATCTCTGAGAGTTGTTAATACAACTATTCGAGACGGTGTTCTAACCATGGACCACATGAACAGTGTTGTCAACTCTTTTGGCCTGTCTTTATCTTCTTGCAGTGTTGATGACCTGGACTGTATCGTAAAAATATCTGAACAAGTTGTGGAATCCAACGACGGTAAGTCATTCGAATAATACGAGGGGTGACAATTTAAAAATTTCAAATCTGCAAAATGTGTCCAAAATTGCTCGAAAAGGTTTTGTTAGCACGTATGAAGGTGGAATCTAAATAGAAATATTACCCCTCCCAACCTTGATGGTTTAGTTTTTAACAGTCTGCAAAAAATTTAATATTTAAAGGATTTTTTTTTATATTAAAGGAGAAAATAAAACGTGGTAGTTTTTTATTTTCTTTAGTAAAAGGGACTTATTACAAACGAAGCTCAGTGACTGACTTGTATGCTAATTGTACTGCTATACAGGAGTACCCGAGAATAACGATCAAGGAGAAGCGACAGTAGCTGTCGGTGCCTTTGATATCGGATGTACCTTTTTCACAGCATGACTTTGGGGGTTATGATTGACGACCTGTGGTATTTTTAACAGGTCTGTTATTTTATAAACACACAGAAATAACAAGCTGTTCATAAATAACGTGTCTGTTAAAAATAACATTACTTGTCCATCATAACCCCGTTTGATTGATACACAACTTAGCACGCTGAGAAAACATGCTTATTTTCTACACTGAGCGAAATAGTTTGGCAAATTATCTGAAATCATTGTTATACTCCATGCGCAAATGTTGTAATGTGATTTAATTACAAAATATAATTCATTATGTAATAATTAATTATTTATTATAAAAGTAAAAGACGTTTATTATTTTATAATTTATCTATAAAATTTGTTCAATATTTGGTTTATTTATTGTTAAAAATGTAATAAAAGCCCCATATTTAAATTAAATTACCTTTTCCTTAAGTAAAAATAAGGTAAATAAAATTAAGGGTGCCAAAAAAAATTTAGGTAACAATTAAAAAGACATTAAGTTTGAGGTATTTAACTAAATATTTGCAATGTGCTTATATTTTCAAAAACTTTTAGGTTTAAAAAGTAGTTAATATTTTTAGAATTTCTGGATTTATATTATATTAAAAGGACTTTCAAGTTTATCACTCATTTCTGTATAAACAAATGTTTTCTCGCCAAGTTAAGCCAGATGTCATTTAAGGTTTATGTATTTAGAGTTAAATACCTGGCCTGGCTATCACCCAGACAATACAAATATGTCCATTGGACGTCTATTCGATATACAATTTTGGATGTCTAGACGTCCAAGAATGAGTTTTTTCCGGACTTCCGACATCCAATAGACGTCCAGTGAAGTATACGAATGGAACACTTTTGACCATTCAGAGGACGTTCAATTCTGGAATATATTTGGACGTCGAATACTGAACATTCAAAAAACGTCCAGGATTATATTTCCATTGAGACCACATCCCCACTTTTTTACAGAACCGCAACTTACCACACACTATTTTATATTATTAATAATTTGTTTATTATTTTCGCCAACCGCCCCAACAAACAAATTGCCGGGATATTGCTGGCCTTTTGCTGTAATTGAAGGGAAAATGAATGCGACGATTAAAAGATAAAAGCCTACTTTTGGCCTTTCGATAGTGGCCCAGCATTATGTTGCTTGATGATGGCCTTATGAAGAGTAAGTAACTGTATTGGGTAAAAGCATGGTAAAAGTCAAAAGGTTTTTAACTGCCGCAAACAGTCCAGGAGGACCCCGTCCCGCGTTCATAGATGGAGACAACGAGTGAACATGCGGGCCAGTCTCGTATTGCTGGTATTCAGTATTCATTGAAATTTTTTACTTTTACATGTTAATTTAGAATATTTTATTAATAATTTTTTTGAAGAAGACATTTTTTCAGTATTATCAAATTATATAGCTGAATTAAATAATATTTCTACAATATTCTATATTGAAATGCCTTCTGTTTTTGTATAGATATTATAGTTCAAATGGTGTACTACTGGTCAAAGGACACTATCGAATATTCTGTGATCATGTTCCTGACACATGGCCTTTATTAATATGATAAAAGGCCAGCAATTTCCCGTTAACTTCCCATCAATAGGCCATTAATTGCCAAAATATTTATTTCTAGACTTTAAAGGGGAAATGAAGGCCCATTAATTGGTTATGATGGAAAAGTGACTTCGGCCCGACTGTCGGCCGTAGTGACCTATATATGCCGGCCTTTTAATTAAAAAAGTCAAATGGCCATCAATTTAATTGGAGGGTGACAGTTATTAGGCCTTTACTTCCCCTACACAAAATGTTTGTTGGGGTTATACACCATTTATTTTTTTTTTTTTAAATCGCTTGACCTGAGCAGACATCGAACTCACGACACATCCATTATCGTTTTACCCTTTCAATCGCTAGACGAGCTCGACCAAGGAACCACTTGAAAACTTTTTACTAGATACAGTTATAATTGAATAAGATTTCAAACTTTCGCTGATAGAATGAAATGCAGTAGATTCAAGTTGTCAATTTTTAATGACCAGTTATATTAAAAAAAGAAGTATATATTATAGATGAGTAATATCTGGTAGGCTTAATAAATAATGACCTAAGATGGACGTCCACTGGACGTCAAAATACTACTAAACTTAAAATTAAGTCCAAAAACAGACGTTCTCTGGGTATCAATATTCAGCTGTCAATTTAATTAGCATAAACGGACGTACACTGGATGCCCCGATATGGACGTCCTGACCCTCAAATAGATCTAAAGTGGACGTACATTGGACTATGTGTGTTGTCTGGGCATAGACGAATTTTTTGAAATAGTACTTATTTAAGTATGCACCAATATTTCCAAAATCAACTTCGATATGATTCATTCAATAAATGTAAATATGAATGGGCAAAACATCTTTATATTGACATAATTGTACCTTACAATTTAACCATAATAAAGGGATTTCGCTCATTTTGACCAATCCTAATTGAAACACGCGGATTTATTATATTTTTTTAAATATAATTTCAAAATAAAATAAATAAAATCTCCAGTTCATTGTTTATTAAATTTATTTAAAAGAATAAAACATATATTTCACAAAATACAATACCTACATATGAAAAATAAAATGTCAAAAACGATTAAATCATTATACTTTATATTTATGCATGTGATAAAATTCTTAGTTTCCTAATAACTTTTTTGGCACATTTTATATCTGCATTAGAATACCTAAGTGTGTAAAAATCTTCATCTTATTACTACACAAAACAAACACCAAAAAATATCACTTAACATTGCTCACGTACTAAACACAACTTGGACTGACTTTGACAGATAACATCATTTTGAGTGATACACAACTTATTTTCGCACATGCGCGTTACAAAACGGTACGCTAAAAACACCAACGCTTCTCCTTGATCGTTATTCTCGGGCGAAACTGCGAGAAACTTTAACCCTATTTTCGCAGCGTAAACCAACATAAACGTTTATGACAGTGTAATAAGGGAATAGAGAACGACCAAAACTTGGCTTTATTCAGCAAATAATTGGACTTATAAAAATGACATATTAATCAGATTATAACATTAACGAATAAACAATTTCCTATGCGATGCAAGAGTATACACTGCACAACTCGTATACAGTGTGTACATGTAATGCTCATTACATTCACCCTTCCTTAAAAACGAACATAGTCCTTTAAATATTTTGGTGGTGCCCTGGTTCGGATTGATCTTGATGCAGATGGTATATTTTCATTATGAGTCAGTTGTTGACTAGATACAAACGATTGATCATTTTGACTCGATTTTAACGATTGATCTGGTTGACTAGACTCTAACCCTAATGATTGCTTTGTATGGTTTTCGTCCTTTCTAGGTAACTTATTTTCTTCGTCACTTATCGAATGTTCATCGGGATTTGAGGATAATTCATTTGATCCGTCATCATCAAGATTCGATACATTTCCCCTTGGAGCTAGGTGGTGATTCGAAACAACACTTTCTCTTCCATTTGAAAATCTGATATAAGAATAGTCGGGATTGCTTTCTAAGAGCTCAACTTCTTCTACGGGTGATTCATACTTGTTTTTACGTACGAACTTTCGCAATAAAACTGGTCCTGGTTCAGCTAACCAGGATGGGACAGAATGTCCGTTAACAGAGCGTCTATTGTGAAGAAAGATTCTTTTATTTTTATTTATTTTTATTTATTTTTATTTATTTTTATTTATTTTTATTTATTTTTATTTATTTTTATTTATTTTTATTTATTTTTATTTATTTTTATTTATTTTTATTTATTTTTATTTATTTTTATTTATTTTTATTTATTTTTATTTATTTTTATTTATTTTATTTATTTTTATTTATTTTTATTTATTTTTATTTATTTTTATTTATTTTTATTTATTTTTATTTATTTTTATTTATTTTTATTTATTTTTATTTATTTTTATTTATTTTTATTTATTTTTATTTATTTTTATTTATTTTTATTTATTTTTATTTATTTTTATTTATTTTTATTTATTTTTATTTATTTTTATTTATTTTTATTTATTTTTATTTATTTTTATTTATTTTTATTTATTTTTATTTATTTTTATTTATTTTTATTTATTTTTATTTATTTTTATTTATTTTTATTTATTTTTATTTATTTTTATTTATTTTTATTTATTTTTATTTATTTTTATTTATTTTTATTTATTTTTATTTATTTTTATTTATTTTTATTTATTTTTATTTACTTATTTTTTAATTTGACTATTTTTATTGATTCATTTTTTATTCTTTATTTTTATTTTTTTTAATATTTTTATTTTTATTTTTTTTAATATTTTATTTAGTTCTTTTTTATTTTTATTTATTTAATGGAACTTCAAGTGGGGACCAAACCGTCGGGATGTCGTTTTTATTAGTTCACTCCTCATATTTTTCATGTCAGTTAAGCTAATAAGTACTTCAAAATTTATTTTACCATATAAATTCGTATATATTGAAAATTTCTAAATTAAAATTGTTATAACTTAAAAAAACAAAAAAAATAATTTTTCCTAAAAAAAAATTTATAATTTTTTAGGTAAATAATAAAAAGAAACTAGAAAATCATTTAATTTTCAGCTCGCTGTGATTTTTCCAAGTCATATATATCTCCTCTTAATTTCTAACCACCCTAACTCTGTCAGTTTTAATAATTTAAAAAAATGTCAAATATCATTTTTATGTAAAACTTTATGCTTTACAATTTTTATTAAGAACTTTTTTTTATAGCACCTACCGTTTATAAATAACCTTAAAAAACATTTTATTTTCTTGTTTTTTTGACATTTGCCGGTGCCTGAAAAACAAAATTTTTTTACAAATCGTTTTCAAATACTCTTAAGTGACTTATATCAAAAATTCCTGTATTTCCTCCAAAATTTTGATTTAAAGGTCTATTTAATTGGACTATCTAGTATATTCATTAACAGTATGAGTTATATCATATGAGATTATCATATATTATACAACTAGACGACTGAAAATTTTCGATTATACGAGACGTATTGCCTGAAACACCACGAGACCGTAGGTCGAGTGGTGTTTTGTTAGGCAATACGTCGAGTTTCGGAAATTTTCAGTTGTCGAGTTGTATACAGATAGACTATAGCACGAAATTATTAAAAAAAAAATAAAAATAATGAAAAAAAAAAAGAAAAATAAAGAAAAAAAGAAAAAAAAAAGTTTCCTAGGGGAATCGAACCCTGGACCTTGCGATTGCAGAGCGAGAACTCTATCGCTAGACCACCTGGATAATTTAAATAATATTTCTATTTATATATATATAGTAGGTAGACAGCAATCTACTAAATTTCAAGTTATTTCAAGTTCTATTTACCTACAAAAAAGTTCATGAAATGAAAATAAAAAGTACATAGGTAATTTGTTTTATTTAAATTTATTTATTACTTATATTGAACGTACAATTATTAAAAACATTATTTGACATTGGAGCCACGGCACTTGTAGAGCAAAGAGTGGAGGATGTTGTAGTTGTCTCATTTCTTAAATTTGATATAATGTTCTTATGATGGTCCTCATTTAACTGCAGGTATGGTTGTATTGAATGCTCTGAAGTATGACCCGTAATTTTAATAATTTCTTGGACACTAGTGCCTGCTTTTGATAATCCACTTATTGCGGTCGATCTGTTAGAATGATTGGTTATTTTTACCTTTTTTGTATCGATTCCTATAGCTTCTGCAGACAGTTTTGTCCATTTATTAATTGCGTTTACTCCAAGTGGACAATTTTTATACCAGCAACTAGTCGGATATTTGTCCCAGTCTTTATTTACAGTAAGAAATAGACGTCTGGTTTTTATATTTTTGGTCCGTTTGCTCATCATTTTATTGTACAATCTAACAGGACAATGAGTGGGGTTTTGTGTATTTGGAGTTAACCATTTACTATCAGTAGTTCGTTGATTTCCTCCTTGGGCAGTTTTGGAAAAAACAGTATTATATTCAATACGTCCTGTTTTCTTGCCGTAGTTGTCTGTTTCTTCCACAAAATAGTCTAAAAGAGCTGACACAGCCTCACCACCACGCCAGGCTAGTTCTATGGCTGCAATATGATAAAATTTACGCTGGAGTCCGGAGGGTGTATTTTCATCTAATGCATTTAGAATTTTCTCAATATCTTCAATATTTAATGCAATAGAGCTACTCTTTCTTTTTGACGGAATAGCTTGAAGTTGTTTGCGTTTGGCGTTTTTCACGAGTACCGCAGTGCGAAAAACAATATCTTTAAATGGATCGATGGTGCGATTAAACTCTTTGAAGTATTTCTGCTGCACTCTTTTGGCAGTAAGATTCCAAATAGTTTTCACTACACCTTCCTTGTAGTCGGTGCCGTCGGCTTTTCTCATGTTGATTGCCCAATCTTTAAGAATGTTGCAAAGTTCTTCATTAGAAGTATTTTCAGTTAACTGATAACTGCGGTCATCACAAAACTTTTCAAATTGTCGCGAAACGAATGATTCGGTTTTTACCGTGTTGGTTGGTTTACTATTTTCAATAATTTTATCAATTAATTCCGTAGAAATATTGCTAAACCGAGCCATGATCAAAATTGACAACTGTCAAATTTTGAAATGGAGATCACAGTTACCTATCCCTCGAGTTTTGACATAAGTGAATATTCGAACTCTTGTATATTCGATTATACAAGGGTTCGAATATTCGATCTGCGTCATAATAAGTAAATAACCGTTGTAATACATGATAACTATGGAAAATCGAGCGTTTTCATTGGTTCATATTTCAATGAGTGGTATAGTCATTGTAATAAATCTGAAACTATCAATTGGGTCTTCTTTTAAATTTATATTGAAATTTCCATCTATCACTACTTTACAATTTCCCTCAGTTAACATTCTTATAGTTCGTTGCAAATTATAAGAAATGGAATTCCCAAATCACACTATAGACAGGGTCGGCATGAGCAATGTGTGTAACGAAAATGGACAAAAATGTTTTTTGACATTATTATTAGAAGCTTGTGCACAGACAGAAACCATTTATTCCGTAATCCTCAATCTGCTCTCATGATTTCTTCTTGATTTCCAATAAAATTGGTAAAAAATTTCAAAACGAATTTAAGGACATTACCATTATCTAATAATAATAATATTGTGTAAAAGGAAACGAACTCTAGGTACACCAAATTGAGGAAATCATAATATCAGTACAACCTAGGTACATCCATTAATTGCAGAAAAATAACACTGGGAGGAAAGCAGACAATTTGCAGTGGAAGAAAACTAATTAAAATAGAGTTACGAAAGACCTCATTCGTTGGCGAAAAAAAATGTGGGATTACTAGGTAATGAGTTAAAAAAAGTAGATAAAATTGGTATTTAAATAGAGGCAGTTAGCCAAATATGAAATACCGTTTTGTTTTCGTACATAATAAATTCAGAATATCTTCTTAACATCCCCTTATTTTTTTGTATAGATTCTTTATATATTTAAAAACCATAATTATTATTCATAATATTAAATCTATTATACAGGAGTTACAGAAAAATATTCCATAGAAAATTGTATTTTTGTACCTAATACGGAATATGTCCCCAATATGGAACATATTTTTCAAGGAAAAATAAAACAGGATCTTTACACAAAACATTTTATTACTTTATGCTTCATGAAAAACAAATCAGTTAACATAAGAGAATTGTATCGGATATATTAGGAGAACGTATTTTAACTCCTTATTGTTTTCTGCCCCTAAAAAGTTGACATGGCACCAACATAAACATTTCTTGTACACTGTTTACCACTGACGTCTTTCCATTGCAATAGAAACAGGTGACAATCATTTACTTGTGAATTTCAAATTGCGGACACTACACTATTCTATATTAGGTACATTGTCATTTTAATTATTGGTAACAGATTCAAAGATTACTCCCAATACTAGTTTAATTTGTTAAATAGGAATGAAGAGATTATGACGATTATGCTATGCTCAAACACATGTTCTGTATAAAAAGTTGGTAGTTGATACTCCCCTTGTACACCTGCAAAATATTCGATATTACGAAAAAAATAGAAAAACGGCATACATTGCCTTTAGTGTTCACTGGTTGATTGGAGTGGTGCACTTAGTAGACTGGACGAACTACGATTAATGAGCATGGCCAAGGGCGTATTTTAGGGGTTTCGGCAGTTAAATTATTTGAATATAACTTCATAATATGGACAAAATATATAGATTTCTAATTGTTTTCTATTTTTAGATTTTCTAGCCAGTTTTAATCTAATATTACAAAACGTTGCAACCTTACCGCAGTTGGCTGTAACAGAAGCGACAAGTGCAGCCAATCAGACTGTATACAATGATGAAGACTACGCATGCGGAAATGCAGATCTCGTCACAAGTTGTATACAAACATATAATGATGATGAAGCCATAGTACCTACTGAATTAACAAGTGAAGCAAATGATTTATCAACAGATCCTGTAACTGACGTATCTGACGTAACTGACCAACCTGGCCACTGTGATCATGAACCTTTCAATCCTGAATTGTTTCTTTGAAATTTTTTAGGTATAATCAGTAATATTTAAATTTACATCCAACTTATGTGTATTTACATTAAATATTTTTTGATAACGATTTTTTTAACAGTATTAAATATTTTGAATTTGAACTGAGTAATAAATAAAGCCCTTTAGGGTATGCCTACCCTTTAAATTCTTAAATGAAACCCAAAATTAAACATCAAATTAAACATCAAATAAACATCAAATTAAACATCAAATTAAACATTAAATTAAACATCAAATTAAACATCAAATTAAACATCAAATTAAACATCAAATTAAACATCAAATTAAACATAAAATTAAACATCAAATTAAACATCAAATTAAACATCAAATTAAACATCAAATTAAACATCAAATTAAACATCAAATTAAACATCAAATTAAACATCAAATTAAACATCAAATTAAACATCAAATTAAACATCAAATTAAACATCAAATTAAACATCAAATTAAACATCAAATTAAACATCAAATTAAACATCAAATTAAACATCGGTATAAATAATAATAATACAGAAGTGACAGTTCATAGTTTATAAGGGCTCCATATTTTTCAAGTTGGTAAAATAAGTTCAAATTTTCAAAAAATTTCGAATGACAAAAGTTCAGAACTAAAAAAGATCGAAATTATAACAAATAATCCAAATCGCATATGCTCAAATTTACAAATTATCGAAATCACATATATTTGAAAGTACCGATAAAAAAACCATATATAATTATTTTCTTTGAATCTAAATGTAAAATATATTAGTCTAAAAAATACAAATATATTTCCAGCATTCTAATTAAACAACTCTAACTAATTTAACTAATTTAACTAATTTAACTAATTTAACTAATTTAACTAATTTAACTAATTTAACTAATTTAACTAATTTAACTAATTTAACTAATTTAACTAATTTAACTAATTTAACTAATTTAACTAATTTAACTAATTTAACTAATTTAACTAATTTAACTAATTTAACTAATTTAACTAATTTAACTAATTTAACTAATTTAACTAATTTAACTAATTTAACTAATTTAACTAATTTAACTAATTTAACTAATTTAACTAATTTAACTAATTTAACTAATTTAACTAATTTAACTAATTTAACTAATTTAACTAATTTAACTAATTTAACTAATTTAACTAATTTAACTAATTTAACTAATTTAACTAATTTAACTAATTTAACTAATTTAACTAATTTAACTAATTTAACTAATTTAACTAATTTAACTAATTTAACTAATTTAACTAATTTAACTAATTTAACTAATTTAACTAATTTAACTAATTTAACTAATTTAACTAATTTAACTAATTTAACTAATTTAACTAATTTAACTAATTTAACTAATTTAACTAATTTAACTAATTTAACTAATTTAACTAATTTAACTAATTTAACTAATTTAACTAATTTAACTAATTTAACTAATTTAACTAATTTAACTAATTTAACTAATTTAACTAATTTAACTAATTTAACTAATTTAACTAATTTAACTAATTTAACTAATTTAACTAATTTAACTAATTTAACTAATTTAACTAATTTAACTAATTTAACTAATTTAACTAATTTAACTAATTTAACTAATTTAACTAATTTAACTAATTTAACTAATTTAACTAATTTAACTAATTTAACTAATTTAACTAATTTAACTAATTTAACTAATTTAACTAATTTAACTAATTTAACTAATTTAACTAATTTAACTAATTTAACTAATTAAACTAATTTAACTAATTTAACTAATTTAACTAATTAAACTAATTTAACTAATTTAACTAATTTAACTAATTTAACTAATTTAACTAATTTAACTAATTTAACTAATTTAACTAATTTAACTAATTTAACTAATTTAACTAATTTAACTAATTTACAAAATAACCGGAAAAAGTTTGCAATAACTAGACAGTAAAGTCATGTGTTGGATACATCACATTTTTAAATATGGTATCCCTATCCGGGAGTATCTCTGATACAAATTGTGTATTTACACTGGACTAAACAAAGAATTGTACCCTCGGATGTACCTTAACACACCGTATTGCCACTTCTACTTGAACAAAATTATGACATTCCATAGCTTATTTGATAGTTTATATTCAAATAATACATAGTAAACTTTTAATGTTATTTATTAAATATATTATGAATAACATCTATTTTGCAGAGTTACATTTAAACAGTCAAATATTTAAAAACGGTTCACTGCGTTTAAACAAGAATACC